AGCCATAGTTAAATATTTCTATTATCCAGATAAAGACAGGAACTAAGACAGCTAGCTGCTGTCAGAAAACCAATGCAATTGGTAAATGAGTATTTTTGATCGTAGACAGAAATTTGGGGATATAAATACTAAAATTGGTTAAATGTATTTAGCAAATATTCTTATCTTAATGAAAAACAATGTAGTCATAAAAGAAAATTCTCAAAATTCAGGAATACAAAAAAATATTCTATGGAGTTTAACCATTCAGCTTTTTCTGTAATTTTGTTTGAACTTTATGAAATAACCTAAACAACATTGATTTAAATATTTAGCACGAAAAACCTATCTTTGTCACAGGAAAAGTCCCTATTGTAAGAAATTTGACTTGAAAGTTCCCTGACATCCTTTGAATTTTACTTCCCTCCTTTGCAGTAATCCTAAGACACTTTTTACAAGTATTTTAACATTTAATTTAGAAGACAAAAAGACAGATGCTCCTTTATGGGATTACTTGCATGAGTAATCTTTAGCATAACTGAGGCTGAATATTGTTAGAATATTTTTACTTTCAGCTGAGAAAAGCATATTTATTTTCAGAGACGAAGTTGAAAGAGCCTGACAGAGATGTGGTGCAAACTTAACCGCTAATTATAATGAAAATCTGAAATGTCCTATAGGAAGGTGACAAGTTCTTCATTTACTGAACGGTCTTTTTTACACAAAACCTCTCTCTTCTGACAAATTAGCTCAAAGATGTTTAGATCTTGTACATGAGTGAGTTAGGAGCCATGCTATTCGTGAGCCTAACAGAGATCAGAATCATGTATAAGCAGATTTCCTGCAGTTCAGGCAACAATACACAGCCCACGCTGCTTCACACACATTTCAGCCTTAGCTGTCTTAGACCAAAGTTTTAGCAAGTATTAAGGAAAGACAAAAAACCTATCCATACCTTTTATATTCAATATCTCACACTGCAGTTGTAATAAATACTACATAATTACTAACAAACCTTCTGGAAAGGACAATTTTATTACAAAGCTTTCACGTAGTTATGGTAGTCCCTCTCTTTATCAGGCATGCTTCCTACCTTCTGCACTCTTAGGCCTTAAACGAAGTCATCTGGTGCATATTCTTCTTTTGCTTGGTACCAGTAGCACTCACAGCAGCACTGATAAGGGGTTACTTGCTTTATTGAAGCGTATTTACTTTAAGAACACTAGTTCAACCTGAAACACATTCACTAGGATGGATTTAAATTCACTTTTGTCAATTTATCTCATCTTACAGGACCATAACGTAGGGTGACTCTTGCATGAGCGTGCTTGAGACTCGACCTGAGGTGCTCCCCACCATTTCAGATCATTACCTCTCTGCCATATTCCACACTAATGCATTGCCGCTGTTTATTTTGGAGAAGCTTTGGCAGTCATCTCTGTAGGCCACTGACAGTCACTCACGCCAGTAGAGAAAGTGAAGGTGCTGTGCCTGGGCAAGGAGCTGGCTGATCTGGGTGGAAAGCCTCACGTTGCAGCAGGTACCTCTGCCATATCTGACTCGTGAATAATGAGCTTGTTTTCTATCCTGGCTTTCAGCTAAATTTTGGTAAACACAGATATTTACCGCAACATTTAAAACAATTTATCTGACTCCTGGATGAAAGGTTGTTTTCTCTGAAACAGGATCAATGCCTGAAGCTCTCTTCAGAGAAAATTTCAAATGATCAGCGAAAGGCATACATTTCTGTCTCCGTTTCTGATCTTTGTAATGTCAGCAGCTCAGATTTTCAAAGTTAAAAAAAAAGTGCTCAAAGACTTCAAGGTGTTTTTTTCACCTTCCTTTTCTTCTTAAGAATCAGAACTGAGTGGAGGGGATGCCTCCATTAAGGATATCGCAACCCGATGGCCAAGCAGAATTAATTTGCTACAAAACCTGACCTTAAAATGCTTTTCCTCCCTTCAGAGCCCGCTTTAAAGAGGTGCCAAGCTCCCATGCTTTCACGCTGCAGTTTCTGAGAGAAAATGCACACTGCCCTCAGCTTTTTAAGGGAGGAGGCCAGTGTTGGCAGCTACTGACCAAGATGCCAGTATGGCCTGCAAAGGTTCTCAGTTGCCCATAACACTATTGAAGGGATAGGAAGCCTAGGTTGAGAAAAGCACAATTAGCCCCTAATATCCCAGTTTCAAGAGATGTCCATCTTTCCTCAGGCAAACTTGCCTCTCCTGGTAAAACAGAGGAGTTACATTTACATCTTTTCCAGGTCATTCTGTAAGTCTGTATCTGCTGTGAATACAAGGCTTCTCGGGCTCTTCAGCAATGAGCTCAAGCTTCTGGAGCAGTGAGCAGTTTTGTGTTTTCCTAGCTGTCGATCTGAGGCATGACAGAAGAAGAAAAGTAAAAGCTTCTCGTATCCTCCTCCCCACTTTCACATATCTATCTGCTCAGTCAGGCATACCTCATCCCAAATGACTTGAGTTTAATACTGCGATCAATATAGAAACTATTTAATATGCTAAATCTAAGCGTATCCTTCAGACAGCGCCCTGTAAAAACCCAATGCTTTATGATGAGTTTTCAACTAAAATAGAAGAAAAAAAAAAAGTGGGAAGAATTGCAAAAGGTATGAGGCCAGGAATCAGGCCAGCCATCAGCTATGTGCTGAAGGGCTGCAGTGGCTCATGCTCAGAGGTAAAACTGGCTGCTTTCTTCACAGCTAGATCAGGCAATTGATTTAGCAGACTTCTGAAGTTCCCATTCCACTAAATCCATTACCTGAATTTTAAAACATATGCCAGCACCTTGCACCACTGAGGAAAAGATTAAAATACAGTCATGCAATATATTATGTGGTTGGATAGCACAAGTCTTAAAAATGTTCACCATTCGGAATAAGTGACATTTGTTAAAATGAATTTCACTGGCGGGTGGTCTATATGTTATTGTGACAGGAGCAACCGCCCTCTTTGAGCAGTGCAAGTGACAGCCAAAGTCTGCCAAAGAGGGATGGAGGACAGATTCCAAAAATGTTTGCAGGCTTCTAACACTGAATTACCGACAGAGAAGATCAAAATGAAAAAGCAAAAATAAGTTTTTATAAAGGATGCTGACGGCGCCTCAGACCGACAAACTGCCTTTTGAACAAAATGACTACTGACCTTAGATGGCCACTTTTTATTTCCCTTTCATTACAGCTTTTGTACTGATCTGTGTATGTGTACATATGTGTGTGTGCACATAAATAATTAATTTTTTAAAGAACATCCCAACACAAATGAAAATGCAAGGTGATTTCTTTCTATTAGCTTTTAAACCAACACAAACGACAGGAATTCTATCTATTCATTTCAGTTCTGCTTGAAGTAAAATTTCACTGGCTGTACATATCACATCTTAAACTGCACAGGCGGTACTGAATTAATACCAGCTTTTACAGAGTCAGTCAGTCGTGAGAGGTGCCAATCACTGCATGTTCCACTTCACTCTGAATGCCTCTGCTTCACATTTGAAGTACAGACTGTACCACTCATTTTTAACATTTTCAAAAAAGAAAACATGACAGCGCTAACAAAATAATAATGTAGTAAAAAACCCACCCAGCATTCATTTCTGCAAACTCCCTGTCCCATTCACAGATGAAGAAACAGGAACACTCCATGCACACAGCACACAGTATGCAAAGCTGTTGGGACTGCCTTGCAGCTCTGCACACCAGGAGGTCAAAACCTGCCCAGCTGATGCAGGGACCTCTTCGGTATCTCTAGACATATAACAAATAAGAAACCCTTTGCAATATTATTGAAATGAGTTTACATTTGTATAGCAGATGTCATTAAAGTTTAAAGCTATACATAGTTACACTCATACACTCCCCCCTGCCTTCACTCATTCATAATTTATAAACTTATCTGTTCACAGGGCTTTACATGGCAAACAACAGTAGTAAGGTACAAAAGAAATCAACACAGCCCTGTCATACAGAAAAAAACCCAGCCCTCCCTTCATCCATCTGACCCCAGGTAGAACTGAAATGTGTTGGGTGACAGTCATTCAGAGCTGTGTTCTCTACAGCTCTTCCACACCACATCCTGTACTCTACTGCCTCTCCAAAACATCCTCTCTGTTCTCCAGAAGCCGTACCCCTCGCTTGTTTTCATGTTAGATCTGGCTTGGAACATCTCATAGCAGACCATCAGGCTGTCCTACCACCGATGTGTCACTGAACTGCAGGTTCAAGTACAGCTGAAGGCTGAGTACAATCAAACCAGATCTCCATTACAGAGAGAGTAAGAATTAATTTGACCTTTTTGCCTTCTTAGGGAGGTGTTGGTGTGCATGTGAAGAGATAAGTATCAAGCAAACCAACCACCTCCCTAGCTTCTGTGTTTCTCATTCAGCATTTGGCTTACTTACTGCCATGGGACCTTGGTCGTGACAAAGGCTGACAGACGTTATGACAGTTCAGCAGTTGTGAAAAATTAAAAATTATTATGAACAGCTTATCCAGCATTATTGCCACCTTCTTAATCCAAAAAAGGCAACAAAACCAAACCATGAACTGAGATTAGAGCCCTGGTAGAAAGAACACTGTGCATAACCTACCAGCAGGAACATAAGGGGCTTGAGCTCACTGAATCGCTCTGTTTCCAAATTTTCCTCTGAAGCTGCACAGTTTACAGACATAGCTTCAACCTAAAAATCTGTCTGAATATATAGGCAAAATTATTATGCCTAACCACTATACAGTACAAATCCAATTCAGTGAAAGGACTGTAATTCAATGGTGGCAATCTGAGACTTTCTGTCACCTTATACAAGACCAAACTGGATCACTGGATTCATCAGCAACACTCTACGTACTAAAGCTGACCAAACTAAGGACCAGGCAAGACAAAGACAAAGGAAAAAAATGCACGACACAAGATACCTCAGTCTCCCACTTTTCAAGTATTCAGTTTGAACATCAGCATTATGTAATGACGCTGGCAAATCAGTAATCAGAGCCTTTTATTTAAACGTACCAGATATCTTTCCTCCTGTCTCATGCTGGGGGTACGGATCATGTGATTCTGTTCTCCTCTCCAGTCTCCGAAACGTCGAAAAAAATAATTGGATAAAAATCGATTGACAGGATCTCTAATAATATTGATGTACACTGGCTGGTCTCCTCCAAACCTGGTGGGAAGAAAAATGGGTGAATCTCATCAGAAGGTTCCACACAGGCACACATACCCATCTTTCATTTGAATGTTTTCAAATTACTCTCTACAGAGTTCAGAGCTTTTGCAAGGTTAGAAGTGAAACCAAGAAGCTTACAAGAAGTTCGCAAAACTTTGTAAAAGCGTGTAAGACCTCTTTAGGATGAACAGTAAATGTGATATTGCATTAAGCTACATGCACACTACAAACATTTTAGTTTAAGACCATTTTTTCTACTATGTCAATAGGTATGCCTCTTGAGTTTTCTCATGGCTGTTTTCAGATGAAGAACCTTCTGCAGCTGAATCCAAGGATGAGCGTTTCTTCTCAACACACCTTTCCCACCTGGAAACTCATGTCAGAGCAGGCACCGCATAACACTAACTGCATCCTTACACTACCGTCACCTGTACAGTAAGTGTAGTAACGTGCAAAGGATTTTGCAACATTCAAGCTTATTTCAAAAGGCTTCTTTTGGATGAACTGACAGATATGAATGGTATTTCCATCTTTAGATTTGCTGGAACTTGTGCAGATCTTCCTCCCCTCACCCCCAGCCTGCACTACTGGCTGGATCTGGGGTTATTTCATGGTTATGCAATGCCTTATGCTTGTACTGCACTTCATGACATTTTTTTTAGAAGTCAGTATGAAAATTCCTGCTTTTAAACAGAAATTAAGTATCAATTTCGAGTACACACAAGTCCAAGGAATAGGAAAGGGTAAAACCAGCTGTGCCCAGTCTCTGCACAAAACCAAAATGCAGCGTAAGTACTTGCAATTTAAAGATGGGAAGATAAACCAGAGTAACCTCATCAGCTCGACTTTACCCTCTTGTACACCTCCTCCTGGTAGTTAACAACAAACATATTCAGTTTAATAGGTGGGATATAAAACGAGGAAAGGAGGAAAAGGGAGCTCGAGTAGGTCCGTGATTATACTGTATTTTCACAGTATTGTGTATTTTACATCAATACACAGCATCAGGAGAACAGGCCTAACTGGAAAAAAAAAAAAAAAGAAAGTAGCTTACACTCTTTAAAATTGAAGAATGGACATTTATGCTGTGGAACAGACTTAGGGACTACAAATGCAGTGAGATAAAGAACAAAATAAAAGCCTTTTGGATCGAGAAGTTCATAGGATAAATTCAACTTGAAATTTGCCTGATCTAAGAACACTAATTATGTTTCTCTCTTCTGTTTCCCCAGTTTAGAAGAACAATTCTTACTTAAGCACTCGCTTATGCTTTATTTTGGGGAGCTTGAGGATATAGACATATTTAAGTATTTAAATGCTGTTCTGATGATTTTCTGAGTCAAAATTGATATGTTTTCTTTTAAAATGTAAAATATTTGAAGGGAGAAAACTGAAGACACCCTTAAGATTAAAAAAATCCTCTCAGCTTCTCTTCATCTTTTGAGTCAGTTGAATAATTGAATATGTACAATAAAAGATCAGGGCTCCTCATGAATATTAAGGAGCCAGCAAAATTGTTTAAAAGTATGAATTCTAGTAGAAGACAAGAGAAAAAATCCCATACAGTTTCAACTTGATTTTTATTCTGCATGATTCCCCAGACCACTAACTACAGTCTGCAAAGGCTTGTCTCGTGAATAACTATGCATATCAGTAATCTCATTGACCTCAATGTTGCAGGACCACTGCCATAATTTGAAATTGCACAGACAGCATAAAACTTTAAAACAATGCAATTAAAAGGCAGATGCTCCTTGCTTCCTGATTAGTGCATAGCCCAGCTTGGACAAGGGAAGTATCTTGAATTCTTCTCTGAGCTTGTCTTTGCGTCTTTTTGTCTTTACACAGAAATAAAACCTACATTAAAAAACAAATGCAAATACCATAGGACAATGAGGGCATTAAGCTTTGACAATATTTATTCAAATAGAAAGCTTTTGGTGAATGCCCTGGCTGGTAGCCATGAAAACTAAATTTTTCAAGTGAAACTGGGGGCAAGAATAGGTTGCACCTAAATTACTGAACATGTTATCTTCCTGCCGCTTGATGCAGATCAGCAATAACCTAAAGACAGAAGGGAGTGGAGAAGAGCAAAGGGAAGTGGAAGCAATGAAGACAGCAAGAAGTGATGACAGCAGCAGCAAGTTGTCTTAAGAGAGACAGATTACAAGACTCAAAGTAGTAAGAGAACAGGGATATCCTGCTTGGGTTTTGTAGAGGACACTAAGCCTAAATGCTCCTCAGAAGAGAGAAAAATCAAAAGCAGGGAACTATTAGTTGTCTAGATGGAAATACTCAACACATTGTCTTTTCTGAAGTAAAAAGGAGGGGTTGGATTGCATAACCAACCCAAAGTGTCAGAGCCTGTCCTTTTGCTGGTAAGGTCATTTCCCTGAACATGTGAACTGTAAATTCAGTACTCAACAGCTCTGAGAGAAGAGGCACATGCAAGCTTGTCTGTCTCAAGAGGGCAGCTGAGATGGGATCTCACTCTTTCACAAAGAGCTACAGAGGAACTTCTCATCTCTGAAATGGAGACTGTGCTCCCCCAAAACACAGAACAGCTCTAATTTCTGATTTCCTACACACTATAACAAGCCTGGTCTACACCCAGCTGCGCTCGCTCCACCAGGCAACAAGCAGGGAATTTTTAGAAAAATTAAGTCTGTTCTGGCTCTTATTCAAATCGGCCTTTTTTTTAAACAGTTTATAATACTTAAAATTCCAACCATTTGTTTCTATGGACTGTACTGAGACTCTTTTATGGAAGCTAAGCAGCACTCCCATGGTATAAAAGAATCCTACTGGTTGAAAATCAATAACCTTAAGCTATTTAGAGGGAAAAAAGGGAAATCATTGCTCCATTTGTGCAAGTATGTTCCACATATTTTTAGGTACCTGTCAATCACTAAATATTAAAAATTACTTATCTCTTCACAGGGAAACTTCTCAAATTAACAACACCCACGTGAAAATGCTCTTGCAGACAATAACATATTGTGCTCTCGTTATATATCCTGTCACCTTATTTATACTCAAATGCCTATTGTGAAGTATTCAAAAAGAAAGGGACACAATCATATTTTTCTAGGCCTAAGCAGAAGGGTTACCTTCTCTCAGCGCAATCAAGATTGGATCTTGCATGATAAAGATACTCAATCTTTCTCATGCCCAGCAGCACATAGCTGCAACTGGGTATAGTGGGCCATGACAGCACCACTCCAGCACTGAAAGCACTGAAAATGTATGTGCAGATCCTCTGCAGTGCTCTTCCTGTACTTAACTTCTCCTGACTTATTTAGTATATATTATTAAATCATAGAATCAAATCCCATTAGTTTCAACTGCTTTGTTGTGACAGGTATATTTTTCAAGTCCTCATCAAAATAAGCAGCATATTTGCAGGCTTCAATCAATGGTACTTAAGCTCATTAATAATATATTCCCCTACCCCTTTTTTAGTACAAGAGAAGAAAACGCCCGAGAGGTATGCCAGATTGTCGTGGTTTGGGCCTCAAACCAGGACACAGATGTTGCAAGTCTGTCTCTTAGAAGAATGCCTCTTAGTAATTCCAATTTTGTTATTTACCCAAGCAAAAATCTTTGTTCAAAACCATTTACAAACCCTTTATAAGATGAGTTAAAAAAAAAAAAACAACCACCAAACAATAAAAGAAATGAAAAACTTCAACCAAAGTGATTTGCTTGGATGTAAAATGGAGGATCTGTCAGCGTCTATTCTTAAAGAAAGGTTAAAGATAAAGGTAGTCCTGTCACTTCACTTCGGGAAGCTGCTGTATTTCTGTTCAGTACAGAACTCCATGCACAAGCAGAAGCAGGTTTATTCATCCCTGCAGGCAAACCACATTCCTCAAGGACAAGACGACTCCCAACCTATTCTTTATAAGAACTTCGGCTGCCTCTCACTCTTCTAATGTAAAATGTCTCCCCTTAAACAAATGAGTTGGTTGCTAGAACTTTAATATAATGCAAGCAATCAAGAACTGACAGTCACCTAATCTTAATAGGGACAGGCATATTGTGCCCTTCTTAGAAAGGATGCACAGCTTCCTTACACAGCTTCATACAGCTAAGAATCACATGCTGAGAGCACAACTTCCCAGCTAACTTTACACATCAATTGTTATGGCTCCATTACCTGCTCTGCAGCACAGCTTCACGATGAGATCACATAAAAGCACTAACATACAACTTTCATCTTTTTAGGGCTTAAATACAATGTAGTTACATCAAAACCTATCTTTTGAAAAAGGTTATCTCAAAATGAAAAGTCACTATAATGTCTTGTATTAGCATGCACTTGCAGCAAAGTAACCCTATTCTGCTCACAAGGCAGCAGGAACCTCTGGTATGCTCCAAGGACCCTCCTCAAGGAGAGCTGCTACGTTTTCTGCAAAGATTCCCAAGGGACCAGGCTGAGGTTCTCCCTGCTTGGGACTACCTGGTATCACCAGCCTCCAAAATCAAGGAGTTTATCTTCTTGCTTTTGTCTGTCCTGCCTTGCATCCAGCTTTTGTGCCTTCACCCTATGCTGTGGCCATGTTTTCAAGCTTTTCTTTGGAATTAGGAGGGGAAAAAATGAAAGGGAGTTGAGACAAATCTTTTCGTTTCAAAACTGCACCCTTGGCCGGCCTGGTCTTGAATGGGATGTCTGTGTGCGTGGATCCAAAATACCCAGTGGTTCAAGGTTAACAGTAAAATAGTGCAAACTGGCAACACTTCACCCATTAATTACCCTTTCTGGAGCTGTGATTTCAATAACAGAAATTTCAGCTTCTGAAGTGATGTGTCTGGGTAATGTGACTGTAAGAATTTCAACTGAGTCCTCTGGGAATTGCTTAATAAACTGCCTCAGACCAGTGAATGGCTAAAAGATGATACTATAAAGCCTTGTATTTCTCTATTTCACTATCCTCTAAATCTCCCAGAATATTTTATGTTGTATTTCTGTCAGTTTTTTACATTCATGCATGCTT